GAAAGCAAAATATTACTTCATTCTAAACTTACAATTTCAACAATTTTAATAACTTATTTACGTTTTTATGAAGGATGAAATTTATTTGAGGAAATTCTTGCCGTAATTAAGTTATGTAAAAATAGATAATAATACGAAATTAACAAAAACAAATTGCGCATATTTTTCGGAATGGTTACTTTAATTAGTTCATTATGTTGAATTTCTTTGCGCGGTGATAAATCTAACGAAAACAGTTCGAGGCATGAAATTAGCTGGGATGAGAAGCGTTGATTGCGTCGTTTAATGCGTCTGTGAACATAATAAATCTTTCTTTCCATTTCATTTGGTACTTACACTTTCGGCGCTTTCTGTAATTACTAATTTGTTAATTTAAAGAAAACGGAAATATCCTGGCATGTGGTTGCGTTTTAATGCGTGCGTTTCAAAATAACGAAAGTGGTTTTTTTACTTATTTGGTTTGGTCATAACACTACTTCCGAATGTTATCGCCAGATCCACATTTAGATGAGTATAAAATACAACATTATTAAATTTACGCAATTTTATTAAGTATTAACTATTTCAAGCGGATGTTTACATTTTTTATTATTATCTACGTTGATTATTCGTATTTATTAATTACAATCATTTTGTTAAATTGATCGGCAACAAGGTTAGGAAAGACGGAACGACGGAAATTGTTTAATTATAACTTTTGAGTTTACTTTTCGAATAAGTATAAGTATAGATAAATAAATTGAGATCGTGACGAACGGTACAACTTACAGATTACTGCTTCAATCATAGTGTGCGGACGATAATGTAAAATAAAATATGTAATAAAAGAAAATTGAAAGTGCAGATTTCTAGTTGTAATTGTAATAATGCTGACAAAGGCACAAAAAGAAAGGAAATATTAATTGTCACGACATTGTCGTATTATTGCGATGGCTAATTAATTTAATTTCGTTTTATTCTAACGCAAATTGACTCACGAAGCACCGAAAAACGGATATGTTTTTATTTTATTAGATATTTTTGGATACAAATTAATTATTGGTTTTAAATTAAAATTAGCACTAAATATTACTATCACACCTGTCAAATTAAAGGTCATTTATTGTATTTGCATAAATAAACGTTTAGGCGTAAAAAATCGCGCTGTTTTTCGTAGTTTCGGTGCGATATTTAAATTATTTGAATATGCAAATATAAACTTTCAGTTTTTGTTTTCGTTTTCGTTTTAATTAAGTCAGTGTGCGATTTTCTTAAGCGCGCAAATTTTATTTATTACGCTTTAAATCCGCGCGTTGCGAATTGAATATCGAATACTAATTAAATTGCCTATGGAATCGAGTCGAGTTGAGTGTTTCATCATTGGGCACAAACATGCAGTTCAATGAATCAATCAATGGCATATCGATTACAAGAATGTATATTAATATTTCTAATTGCCATCAGGTGCAAATGCAATTTGCCGGAGTACATGTTTCAATTAAAAGTAAAAGAAAGTATATTTCTACTGGCGATATAAGTAAAGTTCTTTCAAAACTAGATTCTTAATTAAATTCTACACGTAACAGCGGAAAGGTGTTAATTATTTGATTATTACACTTAAAGTTATTAACAATTAAAGTTTATAATTGTAAAATATCATATATTGACTTTAATTGAAGTTTAACTTTGAACTAAAAGTGATTATCAATAAAATATGAACATATTTAGTTTTAGGATAAATATTGAACAGATTTTAGAAGAAAATTTTATTATTCCTATTACTTTCATTGCAAAATGCGTTTAGTATTTCCGCATTGTTTTGAATTGAATTGACAATGAATCCACGTCCTTTTTTGCATTAATTTAACATTAGCACATCGTCGACGTGCATAAAATCCCAATCCAAGCAGGTTTCACTTACGATTTGTAACATCGTAACAAACTCATTCACTTTTAGTTTCTTTTAGTTTTCGTCCGATTGCGAATTGCAAAACTGTAAAAATGCAAAAACTGAAAATCGTACATCGATCCATTCACCGCATCTTATTATTCATGCACGAGTTACCCTCCACAATATAAAATTCAAACCAAAAACAAGCGCACGGTTAATTTAAATAAATTGAAACTGTAAATAATAAGTAACTTTATGTTCAATGTTGGTTTATAGTCTGAAATTTCTTCACTTGTAGAGGAAAATATTTTGTAATGTTCATTGCGCTAGTTTTCCACTCACACTCCAGCGTGATTTTTTGTTTATTGCTACGTGCACGATTGACGGCACTCGTCGATGCCTCTTACTTAGCTTGTTGCGCGTGATTCTCGCACATTTATCTTGATTTTTTTCTCCGCGCGTCTACTTCTGGATGCTTGCAAAATGTTTGCGCACAAATTCTCTCATCTGCTTCTCATCTCATCTTTGATCATAATTAGATGCATAGAAATGAATTTCGACAATCGCGACTAACTAGAGCCGCTTATAATTTACCGCCTATCACTTGTTTGCTAATAATTTGTCTCGAGGAGGAGTGTCGGTAGAATAATTAATTTAATGAGCGTACGCAACGTACGCCCTAATGTGGGAACGCAGCGAAATGCGTACGCGTATTGTGTATGTGAATAAACAATGTGAAGAACAAAAAATGCCGACGGCGAAAACGATGTGAATAGTCGCGCGATTTAAATGTTTTAATCGTTTTCGTTGGAAATGCATGTGCGGCACATGCGTAGTATGGTGGTGTAAAAAGTGTAAAAATTATTGTAAACATTGCCAACACAATGATGGCTGAACATGAACACTGCAGACAATATCATTCGGTTATTCTTTGCAATTTTTTATGTTTGTTTATCTCTCGCGAGTAATTTATGTGTGCATGTCATCTTCATTTTAACGATTACAATGAGTTACGCGCGTCACACGTGCAAATTTCACGGCGAAATTGTGGATAATTACCATTCGTTTTTATCATTTGAAAATTATTTACGTTTGTTTGGTGGAGTCTAATGGCTTCTCACATATTTTTGTTGGATATGCGTACAGAGTTCTTAATTAATTGGCCATCAAATACGTAAAATAATTAATTTAAATAATAAATGTTTAATTATATTTAGTTATTAAAGGACATAATAATCTCACACTTGACCATTATAATTATAATTAAATTTTTATTTATTTTTATGATGGATTTCCGGTGATTACTTTATTTATTTAAAAAAATATTTATTTTAGTTGAAGGTATTTATTCTCACTGTAATATAATTTTTACTTGTCTAAAATTATCTTCTACTTGCGGAAGTTTCAATTAATTTGATTCCTTTCGATATTTCTCCATCATGCAATTAGCATATTTTGATACTTTTTAACGCCCATATACGTATTGCAATCATTAGTATTAACATTTTAGTAGTTTACATAACAGTATTTATGCGGTTATTAATTATTTAAGCGCGACCAATATGAAGAAGTTGTGAATGCAAGCTGATTATTTATCGAAGATGCGAATTAATTAAACTTCTAATCATTAATATCAGCCGATTAATCCGAAAGTAATGTTTTTCGCTTTAAGCAACTAATAAACATTTAAAATAATTTATTTTTCACACAAATAAATTAATATTTTTCATTTTAATTAAGATTTAAATGAAACAATTCCATTTTTGTTATGATTTAGATACAGTTACGGCCTGTTATGTTATGTTATGTAACACTCTGATAATTTACAACGGTGCACATGTAACAAAATTCATAAATTCGTTTATTTATGATACTATTTTAAATAAGATGCATTTTTAATGGGCAAATTTGCCACATGTTGGCTGGTATGTAAATGAGCACGAAATAGCCTATCCATATTGGGTTTATATTCGACTGGTAGTAATACATATATGTAAGTATCTGGTTCACTAGTTTAGCAAACTGCAAATTTGATGTCGCTACATTTACACAATCATTTGCGGTGGTTGAATATTCATAGGAATCATATCAATAAATGGATATTGTTGCACGTGTAATTTACAATTGTATATCAATCAATATTCATGCGCGATCGTAACATTCATATGCAGCAAGTGCAAATCGGATATGCAGGTAAAGATATGCATGTGAATAAATCAAGTCTACAAGATGCGAGCGCTGAGAATGAGAATAGCGCAATGCTGCGGTGATTAAATACTAGGTCAGAGTGTCAACTATTGTAAATCACTTACTTTAGCACTTTGCAATGTAGATTTATTTTGATTAGGTTTTATTATGTTTGATCACGTTTGATACACTTGACTTGAAATAATTGATTATTACATTTTTATTCCGCTTCTTTTCGGAAATTGTTAAAAACGCGAAAGTTAGAATTGAACATTATTATTGTTAACTCAACATTAACAATCGTTGATTACGTTGATTACAAATTAATTTTTGCAACACAAATTGCATGCTCGGATTTTAACGAGACTTTAATATCAACTCAGTGCCGCCGTTTTCTTGTTTTATTGATCAATAAAAACAAGATAAAAATATTTATACAGGGCGGATCATTTGTTGGTATAAAATAATATTTGCCTAATAATGTCGTTTTTCGTCTGCTTGCGAGTCGAACATTACTGATCATTACTACACACTGCTTGAATCGGCGGAATGTGCGTTAAATCTCGAGCGACGGGCTGTTAAATCACTTGATTGCGATGCAATTGGGCAATGCGTACCAACGAGCAAATGCGTTCGCGGTGCAAATAGAGTACGACCATCGAAAGCATGTCGTACGTATTCCACGAAGAAGTTTTCGGTTAGTTTTTGTGACTTGTTTTACTTTTTCATGTAACGGTCGCCGAAAACGATGTTTTTGTATTCATTAGGTGTCTTTATAACAATTTAGAAAAGTTTAAAAAGTACAGTTAGTTTTTGTTTTGTTTCAAGCATGTTTAATTTTAGTTTTATGTTAAAAATTTAAAATTAAGTTGTTTTTTGGTTTTTATAACAAAACAATCCATGTGTATTTTTCGCAATTTGGTTGTTTTAATTACGTACTCACCAACATATATGACGAGTACGAAGACACATGCCGATGTTGATGATGATGATAATCTACCGGAACGCATCGTGATGCTGCTTGCAGGCTTATCAGTCAAAAATTCAACCGTGTTGCGCATACACCCAACGAGATCAAGACCGTGCGTGTGCGAAGATGTCCTCCACTTTGTGGTTGATATCAACACTTTTTTATTTTCACAAAAAACTTTCTTTCTCGCGGGATTTTAATATTTTTGCGTAGAAAATAGTTTTGTATCACTGGTAAATTTATTTATCATTGTAGAATTAATAATTTATTTTGATTTATTTTGTGTAATCGATCGCGTGCCGCACATTTTCGAACAATAATTGCGGCGCGATTGCGACTCGCGGTGCGCGGAATTGTTGTCTTCTCTTGCAAAAGCGGCGAAGAAGCCGAGTGTGCTCAGCGTAACACTGCTTAGCACGCTACGTTCGCGCGCACTGAACGTCCGGATGGTCGCGAGATTGAAAGTGCTTTTGCTCCCTGCCAACAAAACGCGCACCAACCACTTTGGCACTCGGAGCCATCCACTTCTTTGTCGAAACGTAACAACGAATTTCATATATACCTACCTGCCTACATTGTACAAAATGTGAAGCAAAAGTTTCTTTTCGCATTGCCTCGGCCTGTGAATGTTGCTGAAGCAATGTAGTCTTGTAAATTGTATTCGCAATGTCAATCGAGCGTTTTCCTTGGCAAGGCCGCAGGAGTTGCACGCGGCGAAAACGCAAGCAAAGCGTAAAGAACAAGGCGAGTTCCTTATAAAATGTGTGCCGACATGAAATACCATCGTTGAAATAATTGTTTCCTTTTCGTCTTTTATTTGCTTCGCTATATTTGCACAGAATTAAAATCGGATGCATGGTCATAAGTCAAGCAATTGCTTATTACTCTTATTAGACTTAATCACAATGTAATAAAGATTGGTTTATTCATGTTTTTGTCTGGGTACTTGTATAAAAAGGAAACGATTTGCGGCAGAGAATTATATCACGATTAGGTTGCACGATTTAAGGCAGCAGATATCCTTCAGAGTTGTGTGATTTATTGACGTTGAATTTTCAAAATTTGCAAAAATGTAAAAACTAGGACAACGATTAAATTATTTATAGCTATTTTGCTGGAAGCAGTCAAATTATTTGTACTTGCGTATCAGTAGGCGAAGGAAACGGGAAACGTGTAATCATTCTTTGGCTTAGAAAAGGTGTAAGTGCTCAATTGGAATAATTGCAGTCGATGAATGATCAATTATATCGCATTGATTCATTATCGATTTGCAACGGCAATTTACAAGATCCTGTTTGCCTACTTTGCATACAAACAATCAAAATTACGAATTTAATCGTTTTTTCTTTCAAAATTTTCACTCTTGGACGAAAGCAATATGATGCTGTTAATTAATAAACTTTTACTTTGCTCGTTCAGCTTCAAAAACTCATCTAAAAAGTGTTAAAATAAAAGTGAAACCCCGGGCAGATTAAAACGTTTTGGATCGATATCTACCTCTAATGTTTGAAACGAAATTATTAGGTGTATTAAACGAAAGTTTGTAGATGTGGACAGATAGATAAATGAAGATTGATAAACTACGTTCAATTAGCGAGTGAGTATTGATTTATGAGCTCGGAACTTGTTTGGTGACCTCAAAATCTGCGATTAGATGACGATTTTCTTTACTTTTCATTTTCTCAATCTTTACAATGCTATTATTAAATTTTACTGCTTGTATTTTATAGATTAATTGAATAAATATCAATTTTTTTTTCTGTATATAAATTTCACTGATCTGTGTGTTCTGTGCTTTTTACTGGTCATGTCTCTGATAATACTGTTAACGACATTGAAACACTTTACAACTAGTCGTACGAGTAGTTGTGGTTTTGCGACGATCGTGAAACTTGTTTGCACACTTAAATTTCAAACGACATATAGTTCACGGCCAATTTTATTTTCAAAAATTTCCATTTTAAGCTGAGAGACACACATGCTGCGTCAGCGTATAAGAAAGATGCGCGCCTGTGGAACGTTGAAAAAGTCGCGATGAGCGAAATAAGATGATCAGCACACGATATTTAATTGCCGCCAGTGCGATTGTAACCGCGCGCGCTATCCGACGACTCGTCGAACACATTGCGCGTTCCCCTTTTTTAATTTCCGATTTCTTATTTTCTTTTTTTTTTGCGCGCAGGTTTGTGAGTTTCTTCCGCTTTGACACGCGATTTTTATGAAGATTACCTGTAGGATCAGATGATTAATTGCTAATTAATCATTTTGGCTTTAATTTCATTTTAATTTTTATATTAAATTTATAAAAAAAAGTTCTGTTCCAAATTGTCAATTATTTACTGATTTAGCTGCGGTGTTTTTTTAATTCACAGTTTAATGCTTCATTTATTACATTAAGCGTTCGGTTGAAATAAACAAATTCATGAAGCGTGCACAAAGTAATCCAATTTGTGTGTTTATTTCCAATTCACTAATAAATTGTCTGCAGCAGACAAAAAAGTTAAAATTTTGAAATTGCATAAAAATTACGTTTCAATAATTTTATGCACGTTTAAATACAAATCAATTATTTGCGTAATATTATAAATAGATATTTATTGAATGTTATAATCACATTGTAATACTTAGTATAATAAAGTTAATAACTGATTACGTCTACTCCACAATTGATGCGATGTGGTAAACGGGAGCGCGAGCGCAATAATGAAGTAACGAGATCGAAGTCGATATTCAAATTGTTGCAAACAACGCGCAGCAGTGTATCGCGGTTGGATCAGTCGTTATCTAATCTTGTCGCCATCAGACCGACAGAGGTTCTCAGGCTAAGTCAAATTTGTTGACGCAATTCGGTGGGAATCGACAGAAGAAAGCAAAAAATGAACAAAGTCTAACAGTTGGTGCCCTATAAATTCAATACTAGATCAATCTGTTGTTGTTGCAAGTCATAAACGTTGATTTTTTTCTTCTGCGATTATTTTTGCAAAGGAATATTAAGGAATTAATCATTGCTTGTCGTTTTTTAGCAATGAATATGCTTGTAGTAGCTGTGGTTATTTTTCCCAAACATTGTTCTTGTAAATTGTCGTTTTGTTTGCGAGCATGCGTGAATGTTGTTGCCTATGTTCGTATTTTTATTGCATGTCGCAACAATCGCTTTTTGTCGCAACAAATTTATTAGCGCCTTCTCACTCGCTCGTTTGTCTCCTTGATGAAATCGCTTTAGTCGAAACTTATGACTGACTGCCGTGGAGAACAATAACAATACGCTGCAATAAGGAAAACACGCGTATAAGAATACCGCGCACTGTTTACGATACGAAAAGTGTCAAGGAGTTTGGCTCGAAAGCAACCGATAATTAATTTGTTAATGCCGCGATTTTCAACGATTGTTTTCTATTCGGAGTGAATAGCGGTGAATGGTAAACTCATGTTGTGCTCGAATATCAGTATGCACTAAGTGGAAATTATGGTTTAGCGCGCTGAGAAAACGAGAAATGAAGCGAATAATAGTTCTGCAAGTGATTATTAAGTGTTTCCGTTTTTGTTAAGGTCAGTCTTTTGCAAGCGATAAACGTTTACAATTTAAGCTTAACATCTAGCTTTATAAACGCGTTGTTAAGTTGTTTGTAGGGTATTTCGAGATTGTTTTCTTAAGTTATAGTTTCGATAAAATTTGAAATCATTTTGTTAAGGTTTCACTTCCGGTTAATCATTTATTGTGGTTTATATAATTCTATAAATATTTTAAAATCATTAAATTAGAGAATAGCAAATTATGTATCAAGTGGCCAAACGTGAGTTTTTGTCACGAGTTTATTGAGAGCCAGTGTTTAATCAATCGAGTGTTCAATAACGTTTTGTCATGAGAGGATTACGCTATTTTTTCTACTTCCATTTCCTCTATTTCTACTTTATTTCCATATTGAGATTTTTGTATTTTAACTTTTGTTTTTTACAGCTTTGAAATGCGCACACTGCTAGGAAATATGCATGGCATTTTATATGGTCTTGTTCCAACTCATGACTAAAACCCGTGAGTAAAGTATTTTAGTCATGGTCATGGTTGTCCGTGTTTAAAGTACCACTTTATGTATCATAAAACCGTGAAAACACTGGAGCTTTAAAAGCAGAAAACTATTTTTTAACATTTTGTACAAATGTACTTATTCACGAATTATTTTGTAAGCCCATAATGTGATATAATTGATAAAATCATGATTACATGATATAATCTCTCTTAATTATTTTATAATGTAACTTTTGCTTTATTTTTTGTTGTAGTTGTTTAAAATCAGTTTATGTCTTCATTATATTTTTTCTTCTTGAAACTAAACTAAGCTAAAGTCTTGATTAACTTTGAAGATAATTAAGTGCAACATAAAAATTAAGCACACATTACATACATGCGCATATCAAGCGCAAGCCACACACTTCACACGCACGCGAACCGAGTTCAGGACCTGTTAGTTTGATTCATTAGTCGCGAGCATGTTACTATTTGTCTATTAATGATTAGAACGCAAGGCTATACACGACCGACGAGCACGCCGCTGCTGCTCATTTACTTATTCTTCACTGCGCAATCCGCACAATACTTCACTTAACTCTTTGAAGGTACTTGGTATACGCCTGCTTGTTTTGCGCGCTATAATTTTGTTTGTTTATTCCTGCAAATAGAAACGCGCGTTTAGCAAAGTAAAATTGCAGCACAGCATTGACCTTAGTTAGCGATTGTTGATTTTAATTCATAAGTACGGAAATGCACGCGCGTAATTATACTATAGGTACTTATGTATAAGTGTAAAAAGAATTTTCTCAAGCCGGGAGATATCTCTGGCTAATTGTACTCGTATTGTGCGGGTAATTTTCTTCGTGCCTCCGATTTGGAGCTGCGTTTCGCGTAATTTAAATATTGAGAGCGTGAGTTACTCACATGTGTGACCTTTGCTGGTGTGTGGTGTTAAGTAAACTGCAGTTATATATTGTTATGCTTTACTAATATGTCGGTTTAATTTCGTTCAACTGATTGGGAGAGCGAGGTACAATTTAAGTTTGCAACAATAAACGTGACCGAAACTAATGAACCTCGACGTATTACTTGTTTTTACTCCTTCGGAGAGAATGGTGGAACATTTAAAAAGCTTTCCATTGTCGATTGCAATGCCGCGAGTAGTAGGCAAGTACAAATTTGATTGGAAATCCTTTTACTTTTTGTTTTCATTTTGCTTTTAATTTGTTTATAAGCACATTTGATTGATTGATTGCATTTTTTTAAATTTCTTCCTCTCAAGTTTTTGTATTACTTTGTAATATTGCAATTGTAGAATGGAACATTTTAATATTAATACCGGTAAAGTAGTCTTGTAGTCGTAGTCTTGTTTGCTTCACCTGTATGAAGCAATTGCTCGTTCGAGGCGCACACACTTGTTGAAGTTGAAGTTGAATTCTGTGAGCACTCGAAGCCAATGCAGTATGGGCGACGCATTGGAAGCAGAGGAAACGACATTCAATTTACATTCTAATTTATTCATACTTAGTATTTTATGGGTGTACGGATGAATAATTAATTTGTCTTGTCCTACTGAACCGAAGCAACCAGACGAAAACTATTTCCATGCGCTGCATTTCTTGAATTATAGTCGTCTGTTTGGTTTTATTTTCGATGTGATAACGCAAACAAATTGAGGATGAAATGTTTAGTGTTTCCTGAAAGTTGTTACAATCTCCGATGAAATCTAATCTAAAATTGAAGGAAATAATCTCTGGCTGCGTTCCAAATTCAGTGCATGTGATTCCTTTTCGAAGGGCACATAAAACGAAATTATTTTCCAAGTTTCACAATGGTTTCATTACCTAGTGAAACAAGTAGTTGAGTCTTGTTAAGTTAATAATTAATTAGAAAATTGATATATGAGAAATGTATTGTCGTATTGCTTTACTTTACAATTCTGTCGAGTTTCTTTCGCGCTTCTTGTTGATCTTGGCTTTGCTTTGCTCTCTATCCGTCGTCATCGCAAATATAATTAGCCTCGAAACGAATTCGTTTCTCATTCAAACGGCAGATTTATGAATGCAACTCTCTTTCGGGGCGTGTGTTCTATGTGGATGAATCTCTCGAAATGTCTCAAAGTATCAGTTTCGTGCGAATGCGGAATGCGGCAGCGTATTAATTCCGTTGCCATTGACATTACCATTTGTTAATTCGCGATGCGCGAATCTGTGTGCTCTCTCCATTCTCACAATTGCTGGAAATGTGGAAGCGCAGGCAAGACGAAATGGAACAATGCACGCCGAAACGAGTGTGAATGTGAATGTGTCTCACAGCGCGTCGAGAGAAGTTTCTCGGCGCTCTCGGGCTGAACTTTTCTGCGTTTGCTAAGTCAATTAATATATGATGCGGTGTATGACTTGTTCTTCTTCTTTCTGGTGTTGGAAAGCGTAACAGAGTGTGGAATATTTCGAATGTGTGCGGCTGTGAATTTGGTGAGTTTTGATGAATCTCACGACGAATGACGCACCGCGCGTTCGAAAATGACAATAAATAATACAGAAACAATGCACGCATATGATGAATAGCTCGTAAATGTCAATTTTTTCGGTTTTGGGAAACAATAAGATCTTAGGATAACATCCATTTGTTTCTCGTTTGTTGTGCAAATAAATTAAACTCACAAAAAAGAAATTTTATTTTCGATTTTATTTTAATTGAAACGCATTGTAAAAATCAAAAATAATTACAAAATAGATGACTACATATTATTTACATGCATATTCTCATGCATTGCATCTGTTTGGAAGTTTTAAACGCTTTCAGTTTTTAATAGTTTCGTAACTTTCCTTTAATTTTAATTTTTTAAAAGAATGAAAGTAGAGGCTTCCGAAAATTAAACTTACACCATGCTAATGAAGATTGTAATGAATCGGACATTGTGTGCTATAACAACGCGTTTAGTTTTAATTAAATGGCTTCCAAGCTGCAGGAGAACAATAAAATGTTAATTTTGCGCTGTTTATTAACATTAACTTGAGAAATTTCAGTTTGGTTGAGTTTGTAAATCAGTTGTTTAATGATCTTTTGATGTAAGATGTACTCGTAGATATACACAAAATTTCATTTTATTTTTGTTTTTATTATGATTTATGAAATTTTACAAAATAGGTAATAACTTTTGTGATTTTCGATTGTTTTATGATTATTGAAGAGGTGTTAGCGATTGTTATCTTTATCGTAATTGGCCTTTGTTTGCTTCTTTCATTTCTATTTCCCATCAATTCGGCTCGTAAAGATTTCCGTAATTTATCATGATTTTCATCATGGAGGCAATTGTTATCTTTGTACCCAGTACCATTTCGTGCTCATTTTGCGCGCACTCGCTGAGTGTTTGCGAAGTAAATATTCAACTAGCCTTGTTGTCTAGTTTTGCCTGGTTTCCTTTCGCGTGTGCCGCTTGCACATTGCATATTACAATTGAGTCTGCTAGAGAAGCGGGCAGCTGCTGGTATTCAATAGAAGAATTTGCGCTTCCTCGTTGCGCTTCTTCCTTAGCCGCGCTCGATTGCAAATTGTGTGCTGTGCAGGCAGGTTGCGATTGTATGAATAGTATTTCCGCGCGATAATTGCAACAGGAATAATATTAATGATAAAAATGACAATTTGTAAAATTGATTTGGAAAAATCGAAAGATGTTTGTTTTTATTATGTACTTTACTCATTATCTACGAATTCGTCATCCGCATTATAAAACCTACTTGAATTTATTGAGATAAGTGATAAGTTACTGATAAATTTCATTTACTTTACACTTGTCAAATATTATATTTCGGGTATTGCAAAGTGAAGCTAAAATGTCGGATTGTATTCCTCCTGATCCCTTGAAAATACAAGTGAAAATTGCGACAGAGATTACGGCTGGGAAGCGCGCACTTGAAGATGGCATTCACGTCTACAAAACTACCGCAGAAACGCGCGGTGTGGTAAAAATTATCAATATTCCAGAGGTTCATGGGTTAGAACATAGAGATGGCTCTGACATTGACGTTAAAAATTTGCAATCTTTATTCGAGCAAATGGGATTTTCTGTCGATATTCATCCAGTGACTGAAACAAGTCACACCAAAGAGGTACTAATTTTGACACATATTTAATTTGGAGTTTTTATTGAATAGTTTTATCGCAGGGTATTGAAACTGCCTTGAAAAACTTTGTGGATGATGAACGATTAATCGAAGCGGATATCGCTATGCTTTTTATCATGAGTCATGGAAACAGAGATAATAACAGAGATTTTTTCTATTCTGCTAATGGTGAAAAGGTCCTCTATGATGATGTGAAGTTCTACTTTAGCAATTCACGGTGTAAAAGTATGCAAGGCAAGCCAAAGATTATTTTCTTCCAAGTCTGCAGGTTAGATACTAAATATTTTTTAAGAGGAAATTTGTAGATGAACATTTTTAGAGGTGATGGAAAAGATTATGGTACACCAAACGTGGTAAAACCACCCGTTGCAGTACACAAGCCACAATTTGATGGTAGTCGTCCTTCTTTACCGCCCGTACGGGTCGCAACTTATACTGACATGGTCATTGCTTATGCCACTAGTCCTGGTTGGTATTTTTGAAATACATTTTCAGAAAAATCTTAAATCAATGTATTTTTAGGTTATAGTGCATGTCGATTTCCAAATGTAGGCTCTGTGTTTATAAACACTTTGTGTGAAGAGTTTATGAACCAAGCCTATGTACGTTGTGTCACGACTATGCTAGATAACGTGTATAGGAAAATGTCAAAAAATTTAATAGACTACGAAGGTCGTCCGATTGTTCAAACCGGCGAATATACTAGCATCACATTTGGAAGATGTTATCTTAATCCGGGTGTGTACTGTGATGAAAACGGAGTATACAGAAATATTTTGACCAAAGACAAGCTTCCAATAAACCATGACCGCACATCTGATTCATTAATGGACGCGTGCTTCAAGGGCGACTTTCAGCGGGTTCCTGATCTTCTCAAATCGGGAGCTGATGTTAATTATAGAAATCATGAAGGGCAGTCACCATTGCACTTTGCTGCGAATAATGGCAATTTAGGCATTTGTCTGCTTTTGCTACAAAAAGGGGCAAATATTAACGCGAAGAGTAACGATGGTGGCACACCTTTGCAGAGTGCAGCTTACAATGGCAATACACGGATTTGTTCAACGTTTATTGAAAATGGCGCAATTTTAAGCGAAACTGATAATAAAGGAAACTCTGCGCTGCATTTTGCGACACTGAATGGGCATTTAGATACATACAAGGTTTTAGTTGATGCTGGTGCTGATACAGAGCAGAAAAATTTGAGTGGGGAGACACCTGCTGATTTTGCTGCGATTTATACGAAATTTTTGGATGATTTACGAACTTCGAATTTGCCGCCTGCTGCAAAGTTTATAAAACAAGTTCGTTTTCAGAATAATTCTCAGTCGTAGAACATTATTTTATATAATGTTTTAATAATAATGCCTCCGGTTGCAGGCATATTCGCGTGATATTTTTAGTATATACTATTTCTTTGTATAATTGACAGCAATATCTGTTGTGTAGTTTTACACTATTGTTAGCATTTCAGATTAAACAGTTTTTGCTCACGGCTGTTCCTATAAGTTGCGTGTTTCATATTTATATTTGATTCGAAATCTTAAACGCATCAATTTCGCAGTTTTCAATCAATTTTTACATCACATCAACATATTTTTGATTATTCATAATCGTTTAAATGAAAAATATTATTGTTACATCATATTATTTTATATGGTTGGTATGCAAATTTTTTTGCATAGAAACATTCATTTATAAATAAAGGTTTTACCTTCCGCTCAACCTCAACTTCCATGTCAACCTCAAGTTATTTTACTGATTACTTATCGCGGTATGTACGAATTAGTCATCTTTCGTAATAACATTTAGTTATTTAGTTAATGTTGAATTAGTGTTTACGTTCATCTACTCTGCGCTTGTGATAAATTTCGTGTATTGGAAAGTTTCGTTAAAATGTCGTATTGTATTTCTCCTGTTCCCTTGAAAATTCAAGTGCACCTTAGGGCAGGCAAGACAGATGAGACTTACGTGTATAAAACTACTTCGGAAACGCGTGGTGTCGTCAAAATTATCAACATTTCTTGCGTTGAGGGGTTACCTTATAGACAAGGCTCTGAAATTGACGTTTCCAATTTGCAATCTCTATTCGAGCAAATGGGATTTTTGGTCGATATTCATCCAACATCCGAGACAAGTCACACTAAAGAGGTACCTAACATATAGTAGTATTCTATATAGTACTTATTTTTTGTTTTATGACATACTTTTATCGCAGGGTATTACAAATGCTTTAAAAAACTTTGTAAATGATAAACGATTAACCAGAGCGGACATTGCTATGCTTTTTATTATGGGTCATGGAAACAGAGATGATAACCGAGATTTTTTCTATTCTGCTAATCGTGAAATGATCTATTATGATGAATTGAAGTCCTACTTTAGCAATTCAAGGTGTAAAAAGATGCAAGGCAAACCGAAGATTCTTTTCTTTCAAGTGTGCAGGTTAGAAGTAAATATTTTTGAAAAGCAAATTTGTAAATGAAAATTTTTAGAGGTGATGAAAAAGATTATGGTGTGCCGCACTTGGTAGAACACGACGATGAAAACCAGATTCAATTTGATGGGAGTCATCCTTCATCGCCATCATTACTGGTACCAACTTTTACTGACATGGTCATTGCTTATGCAACTTGTCCTGGTTGGTATATTTGATACATTTTTTCAGAGAGATCTTAACATAATGTATTTTTAGGATATTGTGCATGTCGATTTCCAAAAGTGGGCTCTCTGTTTATATACACTTTGTGTGAAGAATTCATGAATCATGCTTATAAACACAGCCTCTGTACTCTGTTAGATAATGTCTATAGGAAGATGTCCAGAACATTTGTGGACTACCAGGGTCATCATATTTTGCAAGCAGGAGAGTACACTTGCCTCACATTTGGAAAGTGTTATCTTAATCCAGGCGTGTATTGTGATCAATACGGAATATTCAGAAATATTTTCACTAAGGAAACACTTCAAAGTTCAAACAATAACTCTGATCTATTATTGCAAACATGTCGTACACACGCGAAACATGGCGAAAAATGCAGAATTTTAGTTGATGGCGCAGATACTGTTCGAAGTTCTACTTTGCGTTCTGCAGGAAAAGTAATGAAGAAAAAGTCTAAATCGTAGATGATTTATTTATGCGCGTATTAAAATTGCTTCCGGTTGCCGGCGAACACGCTAATATTTTTCTTTATATGATGTCATGGTATAACTGACAGCAATATCTATTATTTACCTTATCAATTTATTTTGAAGTATTACGCTTATGTTAGCATTTCAGATTATATCTATAAGATGCTTGCTTTATATTATATTTGATTCGAAATTTGAAACGCGTAAATTTTCCAGTTTTCAATTAATTTTTACATCACATCAACATATTTTTGATTGTTGATAATTATTTAAATAATAAATATTATAATTACCTCATAATATTTCCTATGGTGTGTTGTTTCCTCTCACTTTATATCGATTTATTTGTATCAGTAATAAAAAAGGCTGTTTGACGCAATAATTTTTAATATTTGTAAAAATTTACGTTACGACTCGACAGATTGACGGTATGTCGCTGGTTTATTATGTGTTTTAACTTATCCTTGATAAGCTCGGCGCGATTATAAACTGATACGTTCGTTCGACACGAAATTTTCGTGTTTCATGCATTGCTGCACACGTTTAAACTTTTATTGTTCCAATTAGGATATTTCTCAACTTGAAATAATCGACTATTTATTTATTTTTAAATATTTTAATTATTCTACATTTGTAATAATAATATCAAATGTAGTAATAGTTATAAAACAAGTGCATCGTGCTGAAAGTGAAATGAGAAATAATTGATGGTTATATTGTTGTTGCAAAATTAATTGCGGTTCGTGTCGTGTGGCTTGCAGTTGCAAATTGATACAATTGATATCGCTTGTCGCTGCAAATTATTTACGTGTTGTATGGTGGTTACATTGTCTTTTGTCGCAAGGTGCATTGTGTACTCTATTGTTAATAAAATGTTAACGCATTAAAAAAATTGATGTTGAATGTGATTGACAGGATGCGGATGTGTTCGCATATTCTCATAACACAATGTGCAATTTTTGCTATTTTTGGTATTGCAATATTTTAGCCTTTGCAATGGTGTTCAATCATATTGGTAATGAAATATGTATTATATAATCTTAAATTCAGTACGGAATATTTAGCAATAAGATTCTTTATCCTCTTTTCTGATATTAAAAAAAATTAAGTTTTTTTTTGATTTTTCTTGATTATTGTTTGTTTTCATGGTACTTCTCGCATGACATGATAATAATCGACTTGATAATGCCCCCATTATTTGCTCTCAACGAAGGTGTTTGTTTATAGCGGAACGGTCCAGCGAGCAGCACAGCGCGCACGTCAAGTAGCTCAATGTGCGGTCGCGTAATCGCAAAAGAAATTAATAATAATCGTTCACGCTCTGTTTCACAATACGCGCTCGCGTATTAATTACCGCGGCTCGAGAGCACGGTAGCGCCACGGGTAGCACCCGACTGTCGATCGAATCGGATCGAATCGATGCTCGAGGAAATCGTAAATTATACTCGGCATCTTCATCCAGACACATACACAATATTCATGCGTATTTTATCTGCTTATGCAGATTATTTATTGATATTTATGTTTGGTTATTTTCTATGAAACTTTGCATCGAAGAGGAAGTAATATGGTAGTAGTTAATTTTAATTCTTCATTGAATGAAATGTTATTTCGCGATTATGCGATACGATTCTAACCGTGCGCTATTGTCTTTCATGCTTTGTATTAAAGCGACATCGAGCGCGCGGTGCGTTATGAGGCAATCAAAAGAAAGTCTTAATAACCACCTTTCTTTTTGCATTTTCTTTGACTTTTCAAGAGGACGTTGTTGCGACAAACAACATGATTATGCTTCCTTATATTTTACTTTTTATCGTGAGATTATTTCAAATTGTTCCAATAATTGCAATTGCGATTAGATTTACTATTATTAAATCAGTACATGAAATTTTGTTTTCCATCTTTTTACGATGTGTGTTTTGCTCTATTAACATAGAAATGTGTGAAAACACACATTGTACTCTTTTTTCTTCACACTGCAATCCAATTTTGCTTATCAAATGAAATTTGCACAACAAGCAGGTGCTGTATGATGAGGACAATGTATGGATGAGAGTACAAGAATATTTTTGCAATAATTAACATCTTTTCCAACTAGATTTCTTTTTTAAAAAAGTTTTAGTTTTTGTTAAAAACGTCTACTTGTTGAATTAATAGACATGTAACTATTAATCGTAATTTGCAGTTAGTATTAAAATTAACATGTAAGTACATCACTTTCTTTTTCGTGCATAAATTTTATTCGAAAACTCTTAATTTCAACAAGTTAAGTCGAAAATGAAGATGAAGATGTTTTTTTCGTGTTTATATCCTGGTGAGTGAGTGCAAAATTTACAACTCACATTTGAGTTACGAGTGATGATCATCACGATGAACGTAATGATCATATACAGATTTGATTGATTGCCTTCACGCTGATTTACAGATATAATGTTGTTTAGTTTATGAATTTTTACTTTATACCGCTTCACAAAAATATAAACTTATAAAATCTTTAAATCACATAAATATGATTTCATAATTTTATATTTTTAATGCATACAAAATGTAAATTATATTTCTCTATGCTAATTACCGGTTCGCTTACTGCTTACTTTTATTGCCTGTATTTAGATGATTTACAATATCGAGCTTTCATCGCGCAGATTTCCACACTGGATGAAATAATCAAAACAGAAATAAAATGCAAATAGAAAAAGTACAACGAGCGAGTTAGATTGTGCAATGAGCACGTAATAAAATCGGTTGTACAATTTTTTTCTGTTCCACAATCATCATCCATCTGTGCGTATGAATGTTGTGTGTTTTTGTTTTATTTTCGTCTGCTTGTGTGGTGTGGAACTTTTTTGCATTTTTATCGATACTCACTATTTCACTATTAGATTGGCAATCCGGTGCGAGAAAAAACCTATTTGCGCATAGATAATTACATTGCATAAAAATCTCTCGCACGCGCCGATCGTGTATGTACGCTCGGGTTTTTTTTGCGCGTTTTTCATCATCGACAATCATGTTTGTTGGATTGGATTTCATCGCGAGGGCATCCAATACTGCGCTTCATTTGCAAACGCACCGGTAGCCGTAGCACGTGCTTTCTTTGTCATCAATTTGAATATACTACATGTTTACACAAATCTATATTTTCTTAATCATTTTTTTAATATTAAGAAATTATTATTAAGAATTTAAACATAGAATCATAAATTTATTTATTGGCATAAAATGTATGTATTTATGCGACAATATAGTTGTAATGTGTTTTCTGTCGTTGGTCGGTGCGTGCTGGTCTGCGGTGTAAATAAGGTAATGGAGCGAAGTGTGATTAGTCGTTCGGCGGCGCCTCGCCACGTTCCGAATGCCAATCATTCGTACGCGAAGTTGGCGCGATGCGCATGCTGGGCGACTGCAAATTTGCTCGGAGGTTTTCTCTAATTTCCCTGGAGTGCGAGTGCGGGCGCATTGTTGTGTCGAACACTCGGTGCATGCATAACGTGAGATAACGTGTTTGGTTCGGGCGCTGATAATGCACTTCCTCATCGCGGCGCAGCGGGTGGTGGAATTTGCGTGCGAGACTTGCGAAATGAGAGCAAACTGATTTACACGTTGTGTAGTCAACACGTGCTTCACCTGGAAACATGCACAACCAATAAATATGTAATTTTAGAATTTATTGAAATAGTTTTCGTATTTTTACTGAAAAACACGTTTTCCTTTTGTTTCAGGTAAGTTCCTCTTCAATTATCTACAGTTTTTCGATTTCTACTCAAGGTTTGATTATTTTTATTTATTTTTATCATCTGTTGGCAAAATGAAAATGAAAACGTCAGATATTACCTATAAATTAGCATTTTACATGCTGTGCTCTGCAATTGTGCTCGATGATGGCGAACTAATGTATTCCGATTCGCGCACGCAAATTTTATAAAACGCCAACACGGTTGAGAGGGCATCTCGCGTCCATCGCAGCACATATTCAACGTCGGCGGTCGACGCTATGAATATTTACATCGTATATCGAATAAACCGCATGGCATGGCATACCAAAAAAAAAAAGCGCAAGTTAACTTCCATCGGGCGATAGTTTTTATGCAAATAATTTTATTTTCTAGTGATTACGATGCGTGCGCCATGTGGGATGATTCGAAATGCATTGATTAACCTGGCGTTGATTACTTTTTATTGTTCAGGAATTATTCTGCTTGTAGGAAATTTTTTAAGGGAAAATCTTAGTTTAAAATGTAGTTTACTATATAATTCTTCAATTTTTTTTAATTATTTGATATTTACCTGAGGAAAACAACAATAATTATTCATATTCGCGAATATATAATTCTACATGCATCCCTATTTATGTATTTGTACAAAGGGCTATTTTTCACCAGTGCGCTCATCCGTGCGCGAGAGAATTAAAGTGAATTTCACTAAAATGCAGTAAACGAATCAGCGCCAAACGCGAAATCACGCACCTAGTCAATTTCAACAATTGCAACTACCCAAATCTATACAATATTAATTTGTTATTGTGCACCGCACTTGCGCGCGTAATCCACCTCGGGAAAACACGAATATTTATTAAAATCCATCCGGTGCGAAGCGCACTACTCATTGATATATTTCATAATTCTATAAACTCGATAAACAATAAACAGCATCGAATCAGTCACGCGTGTGCGTGCGGCATGTTCGCGCGCGGAAAAATTACGCGCCGGGGTTTATTTATTTAAACGGAAAATCACGCGCGCTTAATTTGCGGAAATTGTGGAACGTCTGTAACACATTCGCAGGTGTGAGGAGTGCGGGCGATGTGTGTTGCGAGTTTGTTTAATCAAATAAACATAAACAGGTAGCGCGGCGTAGGAACAACGGGGTCATAGGTGGAAACTAACGAAATTAGTAATATTAATATGAAACAGTGGCTAACTTTGCTGGTGGCACGTGCAATCAACCGCGAGGAATCAATTGCGCATTTATTCGCTTCAAAATGCGCAAAAATAATTAGTGTAGAGCGAAAACAAACGTAGGTTTATAAAAAATTTGTTTTTTCGTTTAGAAAATTAAATGTTCATCGTAAATAGTTTATAATTGATTAAGAATTAAATTTATCCCGCTGGTAATCTTGGTTTACCAAATAATTAATGGCAACTTGACCGAATCCTGTCGCTGACTTGAGCGCCTGATTTAAACATATTTAATTAGCGGTTAAATCCAATTTTCAAATATAATTACGAACACCATGCGCATTGCTTTGTGTTTGTGTGTTGGTCGGGAATGTCTGGATGGAAGGCAAAGTAAACTTTCGTCTCCAATTAATGCACACGTTGCTCACGTGGACTACTCGCTGCGGCGGCGAGAATTGGCGGATGCGGTGGGCTAACGTGTGTGTAATGAACGACGCCACGGTCAACATTATCGCTGTCGCTGACAAACGCTTGATAAGCAATTAACATTTTAATTACGATCGAATTCCGCACGCGTACATTATCAACACACGGGTGTTATCTAGGGCGTATGGGCAGCACTGCGATTGCATTTCATTAGTGATTTTTAATTGAATTGTTATTGGATGTGAAGTTGATGCGAGTTATTCGAGATGGTATGTTAACATATGCAACCAAAGTTACAGGACATGCACAACGGAAAAACAAAATTTATATTTTAACTAGTTTTGTTTAGCTTAATGGGGTGTTTATTTCTTTATAAATAATGTTAATTACAGCTAAGTTTATTCATAGACATAGAGACTTAATTAATTAGACGTAATTTTAATTTTAAACTACATATTGTAAGTTTTACCGATAATAATTAATTAGATAGGAATTATATGCGTACATTATCCTTGCGTTTTAAACATGGCAACAATCGGTGTATAAATTGATGATAGGCAACTCTACATTCAACAAACGCAATTTTTGAAAATAATTCTGAAGTAAAAAAATACTATTTACAGCTTATAAATGGCTAATAAATTAAAATCGTCTACGATTAAACTGTCAACAAAGCTAAAATAATTAAAATAGTTTTTTGTTTTTCAAATTATAAAAATAGATTATTTTAAAATATGCCTTTACGTGTAAAAAAATATTACATCTAGTTGGATCACGCAGCAAATTTACAAACATATTTAAAAATTCATGTTTTGAACAATCACACATCACTAAAATTGTGTATAGATACTTAAAAAAGTTTCATCTGGCAGCATAACGGAACTACTTTATAAACTTGATTTGATTGTATTGATTTTCGCTCTGATTACAAAAAATCAGACTGCCTGGTTGCGTCGCAATTTATTTTTAGCTTTTTTAATAAAATTTAGTCATTGAAAATGTCCTCTAGCAGTTGTTTCGTGATGGTGCGATGTGGCCTCGCCGGGTCCAACTTTGGTCGTCCATACAATCTACTGTTGATTACGTACAACCTAAAAGTAATCATAAAATAAAGTATAGCTTTATAGTGTTATGATGCTATTGCAATAACGTACCTTTCGCTAAGGTCGCATCGTACATTGAACCACCAATCGCAGACGAAAACAGCCTGACTAAACTGTGTGCCATTTGGGCAGAGGAAGGTAGTTTGCCGCCCGTCGATGTCGCAATAATGCCAACTCTGGCAACGTGTCTCCGGATCGGCGTAGAAGCCAGGATACTGCTGTTCATCGCAGTAAAAATTTGTGTAGGGGACTATTCCCAGTACGGGATAATCAGTACCTGGTCGACCTAAAAGAATAAAAATTTAAAAATATTTATATTATTAATTTGGGACAATGCTTTGAGTTGCGGTATATGTACCGAACATAATTATTTTGCAATTAATCAACTGGTAACATAATCACCTCATTAACGGATTAATTCAGGGATGAAAGTAATAACCTTACAATTTATATATCACTGACCTAGTCCAAGATATTTACATTAAAAAGCAATCAATTTGCAATATCGTCCGATTACACAAAAATGATAATTATCCACGAGTACTTGTATTAACTCTTGCAACAGTATTACAAAATCGCGTTTGGTGAAGAGGCGTCGTGTCAAAGGACGAACAAAATTAAATCGTTCGTACAATTGTTTTGCATTGAGCCCATAATATCGCTGTTAAATATATTTAACACAATAAATTTATTTCATCCTTGCTCCACTTTTTCACGCCGGCTTAAACGTTTCGTTTTATTTCCAATGTAATGTTTTCAACCTTAAACTTAGTGCTTTGTTGCATTTAAGGCACGAAATATCGAAATCGCTAGTGTGGAGTGTTTTTATTCGATTTACTACTTCATTATGTTAACTTTTTATGGTTTATGTTGTTTTCTGCTTTAATGGTTTAATGTACTTTAATGTGGATACTCGTTTATTGATTTTTGTGATTTGGTTTTGGCTTTAAAGAAGTTTATAATTGTTGAAATTCTTGTTTTGTTGCGCTGTGCGCGTGTAATTTGTTTCTAATTGCATTTATTGCAAGAATGCATTAATTAAACCGGTTAATCGTGGTTATGCAATAAGTTTGGGCTATTTTTGTCACATATATGTAAAAATATATACAAGCAGATGGTCAAATTGTAATTTATTGACATAAAGAAATGAACTTTTTAATTAAATTTTTAATTTTTAAATTTTGTACTTTTATCTCATAATTTTTAGAAATTATCATAATAAATAATGTTTATTATGTTTTGAGAAAAAAATAATTTTCACTATTTTAATAGGTATAACATAAATACTTAACTAACTCGTGGAACAATTACGAAAGAGCACAACACATGATTTTACTTAACGTTTTCTCATTTCTTGTACTCATAATGAAATGTCTACATTTTTTGTTTTCTTTCCGCTGCGGTTTCCACCGATTCAAAAATAATGGGCGCGTTTGTCCGCGCCCGCCCTGCCGGCTTGCTTTGCATTGCAACGAGTGATTTAAATGCTTTTCCATTTAAATTGAGTGAGTGACTATCGCGACCGCCTCGGACTCGCTCGGACAAGACCAAAAAGGGCATTGCGTATAGAGGAACTTTAGGTATAATGTACCTACATTTAATGTTGCAAAACAGATTTTTGCGTCTCTAGAAATTGCTTTTTTGGATAATGCTCTGGACTGCACAATAAAATACAACTCTTGTGTGACACACATCGATATGGGCACACGCTGTGCCGCACCGCTGGAAAACAAACGCCGGAGATTTGTTTGAGCGTTTAACGCCGCGCGACACACGCGACTTTAAATATAACTTTCTCTGATAAATCTTTTAAATTGTTTGCCCGCGTTTGAAGCGCCTTTATGAGCTTCGGTATCTGCATGGACATGCGACACGAACAACGGACAAGCTTTCAACGTGATATTCTAGTTGCGATTTTTGCTTTTCGCATGGTAATAGTAATAAATTTCGTCGAGATAAAATCACATTAGTTTTATCTTAATAGTTTGGCGTGTAATATTTACCTGGTATAGATTTGCCCAATTCGAGGTACTCCTGTACTGAAGGACTGAGAAATCCTGGCGGCACGTAGCTGGAACTGAGCGGATTGTTGCGCTCGTCGAGATCGTCGTCATAATCGACGTCGTTTTCCGGGGGTGGTGGAGGCGCGCGCGTCTTCTTCACGCGTTGCTTGTGCTCCAAACCATCTGCGAAATTAAATTAATTGATTTAATTTGTGTGAAAGTAGGAAAGGTGAAAATGCAAGTAGGAGGAAATGAAGATGCAACTTTTTTTAAATCAATTTCTGTTTAAGTAAGTAAATGTTTCCTCTTGAAAGGCATTTCTTAACTTTTTTTTGTCAATTTTGAAAGTAACTTGTGCATTTGAATATTTCATCGATAAAAAGAAAAATTGAAAATATTCAAATTCGAATGCAGTTTGGTTTATGTGCCGACGCTAATTGTTTATATTCGCATTGCGTACGTAACCCGCTAAGTTTTCAACTTTCTATAGCGCTTTTATGTACGAGTATTGATTTTCATTGCCGTCTGGCATTTCCTTGTCTTTTGTTTTAATTGAATTTAAAGCCGAAGAAAATCTATGCAGGGCGGCCGCGTTTTCAATGCGTATTGGATTAGCTAATAAATCGGTCGACATTTAGATTATTCAAATTTTGCACGTGTAGTGATTTTTTTTGCGCGCATGTTTTCATTATTGTGCAAGCTAAAATGTTTCATGTTTCACGATAAGTGGGTTACAAAGGTGGTGCTGTCAATATGACATAACATCTCAAAAGTGTTTGTTTTGTTTTATTTCATTTGTTTATTTATCAAATTGTCTTAGATTGGAAAATAACAAGTAAATTTATTTTCTTAAGGTAATTTTCTATAAAAGTAATTATTTATGACTTGCAATGAAGATAGAATAAGAAAAACATCCGGAGGGCTTTTCCTGTCACCACGCTTGCACGTTTTTGCTTTTATTTGCAATACATGAGTTTGTTATTAGCCCGCCGGCACGATTTTAATAGCTGTCGATGCAAATGTTTAAATTACAACATTTAATACGTCTTTAAACTACTTATTATATATCTAGTTCTTCGTTAAGTTGATTTCTTGTTGCATCTCGTGCTGGTTCTCGGCGGTAAAAGCACCATTTTTAGAATGTGACCATTGTGCAGTGTGCAGTGAAAGGGTTTTGCATTGGCAATCGGATTAAAATTAAGCGAAATAAGCGATCGCACACAGCGTCCGCGTATTGCAAATCTCCACGCTTCCACAGCGCAAGCAAACGAATCCAATTGCAACCAGCTCACTTACGATCGCTTACGAAAAATTAAAAACCGATATCAACCGCGGCGGCATTCTCTTCGCGGCTGCACGGATGCATTCTCTTGGCGCCGCGACCCAAGTATAAAACTCTGTTGTAAATGTCACGCGTGCGCCTCGACATCTATCGCGTTAATTTTCAAATTTAATAATTCGAAAATGGTACGATTTGAAAGTGCGACTCTTCGAAAGAAAACTCATTTTCGCAGCGCGCTAGTCATTTAGCACGCCAATCATAGACTCGAGCGGCTAAATCTCGAGTAAATTGTGCGTTCGTTGCACACATGTGTTGCACACCGCGCGCGCTGTAATAACAATTAGGGAATGCGCAATTAGACGCGCGCTGAAGACGTGTGCCGGTGCGTAATAAGCATTTTTCAGCGTGTATGTATGCATGCACGATGGTTATGATTACGGGACGGTTTAAGTAACGAGTCTAATCGCTCATTCGCTCACCGGGAATAATAAAGAAGATTGCCGCGGCGGTGATTATATTAATTGCCATCGTAATAAATGGCCGGAGCGGTGCAGAGCAATGTGTTGAAATGGAAAAATCACGTTGGATTATTGGTCGCGAATCGTGTCGAATCGAACGTTGAGTTTTTAATTGGTCGCTTCATTAGTTTTGATGAATTTGGAATTACGTGTACGTTTAGATATAATTTCCGGGTTTAAGATCAATTTAATAATGCATAGATCTTAATCTGTGTGTATTTAATTGCATAATTATCATATCATACTTGTAATACTTTTGGGAGGTCATCAATACTGTAAATTAACAATATTGTTTCCGTTTAATGTGGTTTTTGTGTGGATTCTTAATTATTTTACGAGTTGTAAAGATTGAAGGTTATTTTTTTACGATAATCAGTGGTTATATAAACAATCAATTTAATTATTGCAAAATTAGATGTTGTTTTGTAACAGACTAGGAGAAATTGAAGTTTTTTTAGTTAAATTGTTCATTTTGTAGCTGTAACCTTCAATTACTTTAAATTTCATCTCAAATTTCAATGAAAAAGCATCAGCGTTTTAATGTTTACGACAGTTGCTCAGCTACTCTTCGGATTTCTTATTGTAATGAGACGCACGCTGAGCAAATTTACGAAGCAACGAATGAGGAATACTATTATCTCTTACAATTTGCATTTATACAGCTGGAATATTATTCGGCGTAGTTTTAATTTGAAAATATTGTTCATATTTCTCATAATTTTTAACTTCCACTTAAATTATGAATATTCACGCGGTGTTTTCTCTTGTATTAATTGTTTAACAATATCTATAATACCAACGGCATAAAATTATACCTTGCACGCTTAATTAAACAGTGCGTACATATTTTGTTTAACATTCCGGCGCGCTTTATAATAATAGCGTATTTATTTATTTATTGCATTCATTCGCTCTGCGCCTATTGTAAATTATCATTAATAATCTCGCGCTCAAGAGAACCAAACACAAACCACAACACATTTTTCAACATTCAATACATTCAATACCTACACTCAATAATAATAATAAATAATAATAATCTGTCTGCAATCTATTGAACTGCCAATTGTATCAATATTAATACGATTACTGTTTGTTGTTAGTGCTGCGCGGACGTGGAACACGTGCACGTTGCACAGGTTGTTGACTACAATTAACTAATACGATTAATTACTACTTTAAAGGCACTGTCTGCTATTCGTTAATTTATTCCGTTTATGTTGAATTTCACGCTTGGCTGGGCAAATGCGTAAATGACCACAATGCAAGCGATTACAATGGCACGATATGAATCCGCATTGGCAGAAGAAATTACTATATTTAAAAAATTAATTACTATTTTAATGCGCATGAGTAGGTAATATACTATTAATGAATATGATGTATTGGTTAACATATAAGCTTATAAAAATTATGTTAAATTAGGTCATAATCAACACGATTGAATTAAAAAACAGAACACAAGAAAGAAACGAATTAAATGCATCGAAATTTGAATTTAATACCTTATAATTTCGTAATCTGTCAGTTTATTTTTTTACGATATTAATTGGTAGATGTAGTTTTGCAGTGTGTAGTATCTATTCAAAATCAGCATTAGTTTTTTACGTAGCTTGAGATTTAATTAATAAACTTGTTAATTTATTTAAAGTTTGATAGATTTAAAAGTAACGTGGGGCAATGTTTGAATGTTAGTCGGTTATACGATACTGTCTAATTAATTATAGAAGTGTTACAGATATTAATAGAGGTTAATTATGGCGATTGCAAAATTAAACGTTTCCTCGTATTGAATTTCATTTCGGGTCAAATCCGATTTATTTTTGTTTGAAATTTTTGTGTTTCAATAAAATTAAATTATTTTTCAATTAATTAATAATGATAGAGCATTATACGTCATCTAAATATTAATTAAATATAACTTTTAGCTCACATTTAATATGAAATGTTAATTATAATTACAAAGGTTCGACACTTTATCCAACGCACAATAAATAATAATTTATAGCCATCATGCGGACAAATAAATGAAATATTTAGAACGATGTGCAACCGGTGTTAAGGTTAAACGCTGAAAATAACACATTCATCTACTTGCAATTATATATGAGTCGCCGTAGGTAAATTAGTCAGTGGTCTACACCTAGATAATCGTCATTTTGCAATTTTCATTTACACAACGTGGATAATAACACACCTAACTGACCTAACATCATATGCTCACACTAAAACCGTCACTGATGTCAAGAAAATATGCATATATTTACGTACGAAACAAAAACAGAAATAAATGGCATAGTTGAAGTAGATGTGGATTTGTAGATTAACACACTGTCATGATTTGCTCGCTCCAGGCTTGTACCTATGTATTATTATATTGCGAGAGATAATCGTCCTGGAGGTTGGAATTAAGCAAATCATATGCGATGCAGATTTGCAGCACGCGTCAATTTAGCGCAATCTTCGAATAATCGAGGGGAACTAGACCAGAAAGTTGAGCAAGTTTTGAACTTGAATGAATACATTACTTATCGCGTGGTTTATTGTGTTTAATGTATTAATTTTATTGATTTTACATCATAAATTTGATTTGATTTTACTAATAGCTTACTACGTGTGTGATTTATTCGATTAGAGCAGAAATTATGTAAATATGCAAAGCGTGAAGGTACTCGCCGGGTGAAAGCTTAAATATTTTGATTGATAGCATTTTAAATATGCACGAAGTGGTTTGGATTGTGTGTGATTGCAAAATTACGCGCTAACTGCCTATAACTCGGTGGTAAATTGAAATTTCGACAAATTCTCACAGTGCCCACAGAAATTTATTACCTCGGACGAGTTGAAAGGCAATTTTCTTTCTCCAAAAGGCCAAAAACATGTATATCATTACAACAAATTTCTTGGATTTCTACCGTTTAGATTGTTTGCTATTCTAGTACAAAGAAATGTGATTTACAATCCAATAGGAATTTACAGAAGCTGCAGCGAGCAATATAATTGCACGAAAAGTGTTAAGAAATGCAGGCGATGCAAGCAATGCACGCGTTTAGAAAGCAATATTCTCATTGCGATTACGCAATATAACTAAAACCCAAACCAAAACTAACCAAGACCATATCGAAGTGCAGTTGTTGTCACTTTTAACAATAAAATCAATTTTATTACAATGTTGGTATATTTTTTATTATTTATTTTTATATAGTGTTAATTGAATTTTAAATTTAATGTAAGTTTAAGTATGAGAATCATTATTCATGCGTGTTGCGTGCATGCCTGTCGCTTTAATTAATTCGACTTCATATGCCGTCGGCGTGCATGTTTCAATTTAATAAGTAACGAAATCGTGCCGGCGATTACTTCCTTCATGATGCAGTCGGTGA